TGCTTCAGAATTCATGTTTTCAGTTTGGGTGTGTGTAATTTATATTGTAGAGTTAAATGCCTGAGTATCATCAATTTATATTTACCACACATCGTGTTTTACTCATAATATACGGGGGGTAATATACACTAGTCAACATTTGAAGTGGATCAAAACCTTTCATCAAAGTTGTCCTAAAACCTAAAACGCGTTCTTGTCAACTTTGATTAACTTTTTTGATCCACTTCAAATGTTGATTACTATAGTTATCATTATTGACCTTCATCAGGTTTGACAATACTAAATTTAAAAAACGAAGCTGTGCAAAGCTGTATAAATATCCTAGATCAAGTCATTTTCACAAATAACTTTCAAAACTGTTCTATGGAGTTTTTTCCACTGAAAGTTGTTTCAGAAAGACATTCCGTCAACTGAACAATCGGTATGTTGTCAAACAACAGTACGTTACAGTAATAGACGTTGAACTCGTTGTACTTCTGTCCCTCACAGCCTCGTTTTCATTGTTGTCAAAAATTAAATATGGCGCTACACTGACTAAGATTTACAGTAATCATTCTTGGTGTGAACAAGCCCTTAAACCTTAAAAAGCTCTTGTTTAAACCTCTAACCCAAGGTTAGCACCACTAAATAAAAAAAAATATATATATATATTTTCTTGAAAGTCATTTGCCATCCAGGAAGTCATTTCATAATTCTAGTCAAAGCATTTACACCTCGCTTAATTAAATCACAGAACATTTCCTGTTACTTAAGCCCACACTTGGCCTTCTATCCATCTCTAATGCGTTTCTCTCTCTCCGCCGAGACGTATTGTCTGAGTAACACTACATTGGACACGAGATAGCTGAAGGTGCGCCTTTGCTTTTGTTGCCATCTTAATTGATGGTGTGGCTCAGACTGGTTCTCCTGTTTCTAATGGAGTGAGGAGAACACAGCTTTGATGAAGTCTCGCTAGCAGGGGCGTGAAGCGTCCTCCTCCTCTTTCCTCTCCAGCAAAGACAGAGAAAAATATGCTCCTTAATTACCGAGATTCTGTTCATGTCAGACACACATGAGGGAAAACAAATCCATCCCTCCAGCATGTTATTTGTGTATCTGTCGTTTAATTTATATATTTATGAAACAAATGTTGGACATGGAGGAAAAAAAGGAAGAATGCCGATGGGTATCATTTAAATTGTGCGAAGCAATATTTTATGTTAACCCTGGTAATTAATGTTATGAGAAAACAGAAAAGGATCGCTTTGTTGTGCAACTAGGCAATTTGTAAACCCCCTTCAGAAGTTTTAGCATAAAAAACAGCACCATCAAGGATCTTCACATTCAAATGAACAGATATGGAGTCTCCGTATCCAAAACTCAACGAAAGTATGAAGCTATATGGAGATGACATAGCGTGCTGGCCATCAAGGCCCTCAGCCAAGAAAATGACAGGCACCTTCAGTAAATCCTGAGGGAATTCATTAGGAAGCACGTAGCACAGCTCCTTCAAAAGCCATTTGTGAACGTCTCATGGAATTTGAGCACTGACTGCTTTGCTTTAAGGAACTAAAAGAATCCCGAATGAAACGAGGCCATTTAAACTTATGAATAAACAGCTTCGTTCTCAGACAGTACCTCACACTCGTCTAGCGGATACTGGCAAATTCCTTTAAGCAATATTCATTTGCCACGAGTTCATTTAACAGCCAATGGAGCTTCTAACCAGTCATTTATTACTGCAGCTCAATCAGCGTGATTGCACAGTGTGTCCAAATTAATAAGCAAAGACTTGGAATGCGAGGGGCAACTTGCAATTTGGTGTTTGTTTAGCTGTAGCTGCTTGAAAGAGGCAACAAATGCATCTCATTCATACACAAGCTCTTGTCTAATGCAATAACACTGCGCTCAGTTTTAATCTTAATTTAGAGGCCAAGGGCAAGCATGTCTGCCATTGCTAAATATACTATGACTAAAAGCATTTTGATAATCACTGACCTCCTTCATTGGAACAACCAAATTAGTGTAAGATTCAGTTGGATTGGGTGAATCACATTCTAGTGGCTTTTCTAGGAACGGATGCATTCATGTATTCAAATTTAATATGCAGAATAAAATATTTTATTTATACAGTACTTTTCAAGATACTCACATACGCTTTAAAAGAGATAATTCAAATGTACCTAACCATATAACCTTGCATTCAGATGAGAAAAAGGGTTTAAAAAAAAAGAACATTTTATTACTTTTGAGTGAAAAACTATTTTTGGTGCTCTGTTGGGAGAGCACATGATATCCAAATGTAAAATCTCAAGGCAAAACCAGATGAGAACTACTGCTCTACAGAATGTAACTAGTTAAATGAATGCAAATACTAATTATGACCACAGAGATGCATTAGAAAACAAATTCAAAGTGATCTATTATAGCCTACAAACCAAAATGCTGCAAAATCAGTTGTAACAAAAAGCATGACTGATAAATATATGATTACAAATTGCTAAGTGGAAGCGTATTTATAAATAATATGATTTGGCCTTTTAAAGGGCATGTGATTGCAATGGAATAAAGTACAAACGTGTCATTAAATCTCAGCTGTTTCAAATATCAGCTCATTTATGCAGTATGAAAATAAACCAAAAAATCCACAAAACTATGTATACAAATCTTGCTTCAAGGACACATTTAGCCAATTTCACCAGCTCTAGTTTTTATTAAAATATATATTAAATACTTGAACACTTCACAGATTTATGATTAAAATATGTAGTCAACATCACACTTTATGTGTTAATATTAATAACCTGTCTTTAAACTGAACATTTATATTGTCAAAAGAAAGCCTTTTAAATGTATATATATATATATATATATATATATATAAACAATTCCTAATTTGCAATGTCTTGCAGTCTCCAATCATAAAAAAGAAATAAATCTCAGCAAAAGTACGAATACGGAACATGTGAGAATACATTTTCCTAAAATATTTACTCAGAACCTAGGGTGCTATATAATAATGCATTATTCAAATATTCAAATTTTATGAGACGTTCTGGCACACAACAGACTTCTGTGGCCGCTTTCGTTTCTAACTAAACCATTACTGCCACCTAGTGTTCAATAGTGACATGTTCAGTCTGCATATACATAAGACTGTTCAGTCTGTTTCATCTACTAACATAGACATTAAATCCATTATTAAGGCTCTGTATTCTGTCTGTGTAGCAAAATGGCCTGTCACATGTCACTACGACTCTTTCAAATGAGACATTTCTGATTATAGCACTGAATAAGCTTTCGTATGCCTAAGAATAGCAACAAGAATTGGCACGGCTGCAAAAAGTCCTTCCTCTACGGCAGATATTCTTCCAGACTGACAAAGCTGACACACACATCACTCTCTCTGCATTATTCAATTAAGTCCATCCCTATCTTCACTAACATGCTTTTGATTCACTGCTGCCTCTCACAAAAATGCGAGTTGTCAAAGCAGCAGGCTAGCGTACTATTATGCATGTCAGTCTTCAATCTCTGGAAGGTCAACTGTGTTGTTCTTGCGGCAGAAGGGAGGAAGGCAATCACAGTCATATCACATTCTCACCGAAGCGCTTTCTGCGTCTATAGGGATGGTGTTTATCTCCACCGGCTCGAGATAACACCTTTTATTGTGGCAGTGATGTCAAAAGAATGGCATCATTATGACTATAGAATAAAGACGGACTGCTCGTGGTAGAAGTGCATTGTTGTTGATTGATTCTGGTTCTCGGGGGCTTTTTAGACAGATTTGATACATGATGACCTGTAATGCAAAGGGTCGTCTGAAGAGATCAAGCATTTTGTGATGTACCCATGCAGTGTTATCTTATTTTACTCCCCTGTTTTACATAATCAGATCTGATTAATTCCACGAGGAGTTCAGTGAAGTGATTGCGGACTTGAACTTTAAAGGGCTGGTTATGAGCAGACTGTTATTTTGTGTCTCTCTCATATTATGAGTTTCATGACACCTTCAATCAGATCTTTACTAATGTGACCTCTGTGAAAACAACACTCAAATGTCACACTTAACAATTATTAATATAACACAATATAGTGGCATCATAAATGGTTTGGAAATGTAAGACACACTTAAAGATGGACAAACATCTTTATAGATAACTATATCAAACCAAAGGCATTAGTAAACAAACAGACCTTGTCTCAGAACTAACTGAATTTTAACCTTTAACTCTTTTGATCTTTTAGTTGATGTATAAAGTCAGTTCTCTTAAACATTTTTTTCCCTCTGAAATGTATTGAAGCATGATTTTTACCCCATTTCTGTGAATGCCATTTGAAATTACATTTAGATTTTTATTATTATTATTATTTGACAATATGTGGTTTAAGCGTTCAAAACCTTTTAGAAGCCACTGTTGCTTTAGGTGTCATTATGTAATATTGACTACATTTCAAAAATACAGTAAATGACTAAAAATAAGTAATGACAAAATATTTATATAATAAATATATAAACATTTATATAAGCCAGTTTCCCCTTTTACAACTCTGAAAAACTGAATTGATTTTGCCATATTTTTATAAATGCCACTTGAAATTACATTTGTTTGTTTTTTAATGTTCAAACGTTTTTGGAGCCGCTGTTGCCTTTCTCATAGTTATTATTCATAAATAATTTGTAAATAAATTACAAAAAAAAACACAATAATATTAAATAATAAAAATGTCATTTTATATTTATTTTTATTTTCTTTTAGTAGTTTTTACTTCAGAAATAAAAAAAAAAAAATTATATATATATATATATATATATATATGTATGTATGTTTGTATGTTATAAATTTTAAATAATGCTGTATAAAGTACCAAACATATATACACAAATATTTCTGTAAAAAGTGATAAATAAATAAATATCTAGTAAAATACATCATATTCTACCAGCATCAAAATGTAGAGAACAACACGTACCTTTGTCGTCTTCAAACGGGTCTTCAGAACATGAATGCAGAGTGTGTGTGTGTACTTACGTATGAGCATTTGTGCAGCCAAATACTGTTGGTGTTTGTGTAACATTTGCTTATGTAGATTACAGCGTGCTCAATTAACCTTTCATAGAGTGAGTCCATGTGATCATTTCAATTGTCTAAACCAGTGAACCAAAGAGTGAACTAAACAAAAGAAAGAGAGGATGTGGAAACTGCACGGGACGGAGGGTAACTTACGGTCATTACACTGCGTCCCGGTGTAGGAGGTCATTGAACAGTCGCAGGTGTAGTTCTCCCATTGCTGGATGCAGATCCCCATGTTGGCACAGGAGTCTTCTTGGCATGTAGTGCTAGGACCTATGGTGGCAAAGCAGAGCAATGTAATACTGGGGGCAAACGTCCCGTCATGCTGTTAAGGTGCCATGCAGGTGTGTGTAACAGTACACATGCAGTTTAGGTTAGTAGAGGTACTCAAAAAACATCCCGAAAGCTGTTGAACAAACGTGGCATTCCCTATAACCGACTGGATTTTAGTAATAAACATCATACTCTAGACATATTCAACATGGCTTGTTACAGAAGTAGATTCAGACACGGGGCCAAGCATGAACTTTCTCACATCTGCACAGAGGAACAAAGGTCAATGACAACATTTAATAGCGAGGTGTGTACACAGTCCAGTAGGTACTATTGTTACACATTAAGAACAATAGTGTGCACACCAGCCACGTGCAATCGAGTTGAGCGTGTTCCAAACACATCTTGTGTTCTGGCACACTTGGGTTCATTTTGAGGGAATGCAGCAAGAACAATAGAGCTCATTACCCAATTCAGAGCAAGAGGGTGAATGCATTCCCCCTGAATTAACCATATAAACAAGATAATTGCAAATAAATTGGCTTTTGAGTGCATTTTTCTTGTGAAATACAACTGCGAAAACAAGAGGTTAACCACAAACATCAACTTTAGTTAAGGGGGAGAAAAGAAGGCTAAAAGCGCATTTACTGTGCAACGCAAAGTGCAACTTCAGTACTATGTAAAAGTTCAACATAAAATGATTCACCCCAATTTGTTGACTGTCAAAACTGCAGATAGGATTTCGAATGGAAAATCGGAGAGACTATACTTCAAGATAGTTCTCTGATTTTTCCATTCACATCATTCAGGCTTATAATAGTAGCACATTAACTTATTTTCATGGAATACGTCACATTATGTAAACTGGCCTTATTAAGACAGTATTAGGGTATTTTTGGTTTAAGTTTCTGTACAGATTTACATACAGTAGTTTGTTCCAGTTCACAAATTTGATTAGATGATAGTCATTTCAAGAGTGCTGATAAGGGTCATTCATATTATGCAGTACATTGTCCTATTCCCATTATACAATACAGTTCAAAAGTTTGGCGTCAGTAAGATTTTTAATCTGTTTTTGAAGGAAGTCAATCATACAGTGAAAACAGTAATATTGTGAAATATTATTACAATTTAAAATAACCATTTACTATTTTAACATATTTTGAAATGTAATTTATTCCTGTGATGGCAAAGCTGAATTTTCAGCATTATTACTCCGTCTTCAGTGTCACATGAACAGAAATCATTATAATATGCATCTGATGCATGCTCAAGAAACATTTCTTATCAGTATCAAAGTTGAAAACAGTTACGCTACTTAATATTTTTGTGTAAAGAGTGCTACATTTTTCTCAAGATTCTTTAATTAATAAAAGGTTCAAAAGAATAGTATTAAATTGAAAGAGAAATATTTTGTAACAATGTAAATGTACAGTATTTACTGTCACTTTTGATCAATTTAATGCATCCCCTTCTGAATAAAAGTATTAATTTCTTTAAAAAAAGAATTATTACTGAACTCAAACTTTTGAACGCCAGTGTACATATTAATGCACTGAATACAATATTACATTTTGTTTAAATGTTTAAAAATGGAAATCATAATTTTTTCATAATTAATTGTGTTTTATCACAGTATCACAGCAAAGTGAACCCGAGATCAAATACAATGGAAAATATAATAAAATGCCAATTTATGAGAAATTTTATTCAAGAAATTTCCCAGTTTTTCCCTTTCTATACTCAAAATGTTTTCAAGACAGCATGAAAAGTGCTGAAATTGCAACTCCAGTACATACATTTTATTTATTTGTTTATTTTGATTTATTTTGATAAGTTGTATGTACTGCATAACATGAATGACCTGCAACAATGAACTGAGTCGCATTGGTTCTAAAATGTTAGTGACTTCATATACATGATTTACCCTCAGCTGTGATGATATTCACTTCAACAGCAAGTAGGCTACTCTTATTTGTGATGTCGCTTAAATAATAAAGTGGAAATCACATCTGTTTTGAGTTTACGTGCTCTGTGGGACGCTATCTGAGTTTAAAGTCTACGGTAGCGTGCCGACATTTCCAGATGGATTTTCATGCTAATTTTATTCATTATTTTACTAATCATATTGCTATTCAGTGCATTCAAAGACAAGCTAGAAGAAACCAATGGTGAGATACTTAATGGATTCTCCTAAGCCAGATTCCTCTCTCAGCTGAACGTCGTTAGCGTAAAAAAAGCAACAAGACAAGATATGGACATGGGGACTTAGTTATACAGGAGGGCTCATGTTTTATTAATGTAGACTCTCAGTTGCAATCATTACTTTTCTCTTCTCACTTTGCAAGTCTCATGACCTTCGGTAAAAACACAAGGGCATTTTCTTTTAGAAAGAAGTGAACCATTTTATACCAAGACATTGTTACAGTGAACCAGCTAGTGTCCGCTTTATGTCTGGGTATTGGGAAGAATACAAAACAAACCGGCACAAGACAAAACAGCAGCTTTCAGCCGAGCTCAGAATGGAATTGAACCTTATATACCTTGTAGATCTGCTTTGGTGAAACCAACTTTGTTAAGCAAGAAACAGAAAAGCGAAAACAATCAAAGAGGTAAGAAAGTGGTCGATGGCTTCTGTTAATAAAGCAATGGCTTTACTAACAGGACATGCTTTACCATTCTTAGGAAGGATCTGCACTCTTGAGTTACTGCACCATGGGTTAGAAATGATAATAATAGTCATGAAACTGATGGGTTGATTCAGCATGGCTGGGTTGAAAAAGGTGTAATGGCACTCAATGAAAGTAGCCTATTTAGTAGCTAAAAAAGCGCTACAAGTAAATTAAAACTGCAGTTTGCTTATGAAATTGGGGCTGAAAAATGATCTCATTTACAGTTTAAATATATTCAGCCAATAAAAATGCAGAAAAAGCAGGCTTCGTTTGCATATTCCATTCTAGTCTGCTGTTCTGATAGCAAAAATGTTAAAATGACTTTCAATGCACAGTATGGGCGTGATAATGTGCTAATGCTAACGTAAATCAACAGAAACGGCTAAGACTGTATAAAGCAAGCGGTTGGAGAGGGGACATTTTAATGATGTTGCGTTCTGACAAAACAAAATGTTCCCCTGCATTACTGCAGCATGTAATCGAGCCCTCGCCTTCCTAAGCACAGGTGCATCATTGCCATCTGGTGGATGAAAAGCTTCATTACAACAGAATGGCGCATTCATTGCCATTTGAACCAGCAAAGGATTCTGTTGCCATTGTGGAGCCATTCCATACACGGTTTACAGTTTTACTGTGCACAAACAGTACAGTACAGAGTGATGTGCCTTTCATGCTGGGCTGTGAACATAAAAACCTACTCACGTTCACTTTTGGATGCTGTGCCGGAGAGATAAACGTAAAACACACACACACAAAGTTGTTCTATTCATGTATGAAATGAAGAATTGAATTCAAATGGTGTTGGGTATGTCTCTGTTTATAAAATCCGACAACACACATCCTAAAGATGTGTATTTAAGCACGTCGGCTATCAGACAATCTTATGGTGGCCTGTGTCTTGAAAATATGTGGAATTATGTTAAAGATGAATATTATTTTCTTTGGATTTCACAATAGAGATGGTCACACTTGAAATGGGTCATATCTTACCATTCACACTGCTCATAATTTACCCGGGGTTAACAATTAATTCATAAGCTGACGTTTCTACATTCATAACCGGGTTGCCACGTCTACAAAACAAAATCAGTCCAAACTGGTAAACAAACTTAGCCCAAGGCTTTTTTATTATTATTATTATTATTTTATACAAAAAAATTTTTACCAACGCGGTCTTTACCTTCGTCAGGAGTCCCCTCCGTCAAAATCGCGTTCCGGAAAGATCACTTTAACCAGCGCACTTCAAAAAGGAGAGTAAAATAGCCCTATTGAGCGGAAAACAGTGATCTTGGCAACCCTGATTTCTAAATCACGGGTTCTCGCGACCTGTTTACACAACGGCTCTAGCATTGCTATTCTTCTTATTATTGCCGACTGTAACGTTACTATCAAGTTATTCCTGAATGGACTTTTCATTTTTGGGCTATAAAGGTAAGACTAAAACTCTCCTTCAACTCCAATTCAAATATTTTCCGTCAACATTTGACATTTTCCCCTTAAACGCTGAAACAACTGAACGCGCTAATTAGCGTCTAGCCATGAAAGGTAAAAACCGCAACATCAGTTAACACTGTACTCCGTGTAAAAGCAGTGCTAACCCTGCTCCGGTGCACAGTTTCATAACCCCTGGTAAAAAGCTTTGCTAAGCCCATGAAACACCTTTATCCGGGGTTAAAAGCGAGGCTTAGAACGATGATAACCCAGGGTTAAGCGCAGTGTGAAAAGCCCTTGCATGTAGGGTCTGAAAACTTTAACAATAAGGGCAGCTATAAAAAGTTTTTGAAAAATCATCTTTATGGTTTGCAACACTGATATTGAAGAAGAAAAAAAAACACGGTTTGCATGTTTTAAAATGTGTACGCTTTGACATTAAACCATTAAATGTTCATTAGTTTTAAAATACATTTTCAAATCTGTTAAGACCAGTGGTGTGTTCATAAACTAGTAAGTAGCCTTTTTTCTTTGGAAAACAATCCCAGACTTATGTGTTTTTATCAAGCATGCTGACATTGACATTTCTCACTCACGCAATGAACTCGAGCAACAAAACGTGAAGATGATACAACAAAACACCAAACGATTTAGATAGATATGATTTTATTCTTGGTTCAACAACATGTAAACGTAACATGTATGATACTCAACATAAAAGGGAGGCTTTTTGTTCAAGACAACATTGAGATGGGTGATGGAATTGTGACGGACAATTAATTTTGTAATGGATGGACAGGTCATATAAATGCTTGTACAGTTTTATGCAAACAAGACTATAACAAATCAAAAAAGAACAAGAGAACACTGAGAACAAAAAAGTGAAAGGCCAAAAAAAGAAAAGAAAGTAAAATAACCAACCAACCAAACAAACAAACAATGTCAAGAAATCAAAGACATTAACATGCACTGAAATATGGCAGAGGTCTCGTGTACATAAGAAAATGGGTATTAGCAATGAGTAAGTGAAGAAATATCCTTGTATGGATCTTAAATGATCTGTGTTCTGATCTTTTGGACATATTTGGCATTTAACATACAATCATTTGCTATGATTGAAGCTTTGATGCTGGTTATATGACCATAATATCTGCAATATTTTACTGACACCTAGCTTCTGATAAAATGTCAAATTCTTACATAATCTGTATTTATAAATATTTTTGTAATTTTTTGTGATTTTCTTTTTGTCTTTAATTTTTTATTCTAATCAGTCAAATGCCAGAGATGTAATTTTATCACAATATTCAAATGTTACGTTTATTTCACTCCCATCCAAAATATATACTCAAAACTAAAATAATATTATATATACACTACCATTTAAAAGCCTGGGGTCATTAAGTTTCTTTTTTATGTTTTTGAAAAAAGTCACTTATGCTCATCAAAGCTGCATTATTTGATCACAAATACAGTAAAATCTATTAAATAAAACATTTTTGAATATTATTACAATTAAAAATAACTTTAAATATATTTTAAATATTATTTCTGATATGGAAAAACTGAATTTTTAGCATTCATTACCCCAGTCTTCAGTGTCACACGACACTATCAATGTTGAAAACAGATGTGCTGGTCAATATTTTTGTGGAAACCATGATACATTTTCCTCCAGGATTCTTTGATGAATAGAAAGTCAAAAATAATAGCATTTACTTATTTTTTACTGTCACTTTTGATTAATTGAATGCATCCCTGCTGAATAAAAGTATTACATTCTTAAATAAATAAAACCTTACTGAGCCCAAACTTTTGAATGGTAGTATACATACATTACAACACATTTGTCATAATTACTTAATAGCTGCCCATATTCTTGTTTTATTTTTAATGGTTTAAGGTCAAAACACATCAGATCAAATGCATAAAGTTCCATCTTGACTCAAAATACTGCAGTGTAAATATTCCCTCTGTAGGTCGGTTATTAAAAATGTCACTAATTCATACAAACAGAGACTTGGCTGATCCTAGCATGACCATTGTGGCCAATAAGAATATTAATACGCCAGTGGGTTCAACAGAGAGCTGACTGGGTGAGAGATGAGACAAGCAGGGTGAGAAAGATGGAGTGATGGCTGAGTGAGGTGGAGGTGGAACTACTGTTTGCATTCATGAGAAAGAACGGGCTCCTCGAGCTAGAGTTGTAAGAGGGTGTACCTTCGCATCCTCGCTCGATCTGACCGCTGCGGAACAAGGCATCATTTATGAGGTCGGGAAGGCGTCCGTTCAGGTCCACAGATGCCAGGCAACCCTTAAAACCATCCCTAGAGGCCACAAGTTTCGGCAGGCTGTTATACATGTTGGGCCCCAATCCGGCGATGTAGAGGTCACCTGCGCAGAATGCAGATACAATAGATGCCCAGGTAAACAAAGTAGTGATAAGACTGTGATGGGGGCATGAGAATATATGAATTTTAGCTGGTTATGTACCTTTAAGGTCCAGATTTTTAGCGCCATTGATGCCTTGACTCACTGCCTTGGCATCAACTTTGAGTGTGTGGATGTTACTGTTGTCTCTAGTGATGACAACGTTATGCCACTGGTTGTCATGGAGAGCTCGGTCACTGTTGCCCTTGATTACATTGGGCCCGTTGCCAAGATCAAACACGTAATGTATGTACCTAAAAGACAGAAAAGTGAAGTTCGGTTTACAGGGAGAGTAGAAAGGCCATATCATATGCCATTCTAACTTTTAAGTTTTCTAAATATGTCAATTTGAGATATGCTCATTGTAGATAAATCAATTTTTACTCTCCACTTCCCTTTTTTTTTTATAACAAAGCAAACTGATATGAAATAGTCTCTCAGCTTATTTTGGCCAAGAACTGCCAACTTCCAACAGGAACCACAATTTCTTTTTACTTTTTATGCTTTTTACGAGGGGGTGGATAAATCTTAAATGATACCAGAGATGAAACAATATCTTATTAAGTTGGCTTGAAAAAGCTACTACCGCCAAACTGACTCGGGTTGCTATATCTTTTCTAACTGATCCGGCTTATGGTTTTCGTAAACCAGACTATCAAAACCACCTAAAATCCCATAGACTTTCATTGAGGGGGTGAACACTTTTATACAATAAGACTTATGGTGTATTTAAAGGAACACTCCACTATTTTTGAAAATAGGCTCATTTTCCAACTCCCCTAGAGTTAAGCAGGTGAGTTTTACCATTTTCGAATCCATTCAGCTGATCTCCGGGTCTGGTGGTAGCACTTTTAGCTTAGCTTAGCATAGATCATTGAATCTGATTAGACCGTTAGCATCTTGCTCAAAAATGACCAAAGAGTTTCTATATTTTTCCTATTTAAAACTTGACTCTTCTGTAGATACATCGTGTACTAAGACCGGCGGAAAATGAAAAGTTGCGATTTTCTAGGCCGATATGGCTAGGAACTATACTCTCATTCCGGCGTAATAATCAAGGAACTTTGCTGCCGTACCATGGGTGCAGCAGGCGCAATGATATTACGCAGCACCTTAAATAGGCTTATTGGAAGTTACCTAGCTGGGACTATTTTCAGGCGCTGCGTAATATCATTGCGTAATATCATTGCTGGAAACATGCTAGTCACTTGCTAATCATGCTGGAAACATGCTAGTCACTTGCTAATCATGCTATCAACATGTTAATCACTTGCTAATCATGCAAGCAACATGCTAATAACTTGTTAAAAATGCTAGCCACATGCTAGACGCATGTTAACGACATGCTAGTAACTTTGCTAATCATGCTAATCACTTGCTAATCATGCTAGCAACATGTTAGTCACTTGATAATCATGCTAACAACCTGCTAGCGACATGCTAGTCACTTGTAAATAATGCTAGCAACATGCTAGAAACATGTTAACGACATGCTATTAACTTGCTAATCATACTAACGACATGCTAGTCACTTAATAGTCATGCTAGCAACATGCTAGTCACTTGAAAATCATGATAAAAAATGCTAGTCACTTGCTAATCATGCTAGCAACATGCTAGAAAAATGCTAACGACATGCGAGTAACTTGTTAATCATGCTAGTCACTTGTTAATCATGCTAGCAACATGCTAGCTACTTGCTAATAATGCCAGCAACATGCTAGCAACATGTTAATCATGCTAATAACATGATAGTGACATGGTAGTAACTTGCTAATCATGCTAATAACATGCTAGTAACTTGCTAATCATGCTAACGACATGCTAGTCACTTGCTAGTCATGATAGCAACATGCTAGTCACTTGCTAATCATGCTAGTAACTTGCTAATCATGCTAACGACATGCTAGTCACTTGCTAGTCATGCTAGCAACATGCTAGTCACTGGCTAATCATGTTAGCAAACATGCTAATGACTTGCTAATAATGCTAGCAACATGCTAGACGCATGCTAATGACATGCTAGTAACTTTGTTAATCATGCTAATGACATGCTAATCACTTGCTAGTCATGCTAACAACCTGCTAGCGACATGCTAGTCACTTATTAATAATGCTAGCAACATGCTAGAAACATGTTAATGACGTGCCAGTCACTTACTAGTCATGCTAGCAAAATGCTAGTCACTTGTTAATCATGTTAACAACATGATAGCAACATGCTAGTCACTTGCAAATCATGCTAACAACATGCTAGTAACTTGCTAATCATGCTAATGTCATGCTAGTAACTTGCTAATCATACTAACGACGTGCTAGTCACTTACTAGTCATGCTAACAACATGATAGCAACATGCTAATCACTTGCAAATAATGTTAACAACATGTTAGTAACTTGCTAATCATGCTAGCAACATGCTAACGACATGCTAGTATCTTGCTAATCATGCTAGTCACTTGCTAATAATGCCAGCAACATGTTAATAATGCTAACAACATGATAGCAACGTGCTAATCATGCTAGTAACATGCTAGTAACTTGCTAATCATGCTAACGACATGCTAGTCACTTGATAGTCATGCTAGCAAAATGCTAGTCACTTGTTAGTCATGCTAGCAACATGCTAATCATGCTAGTAACATGCTAGTAACTTGCTAATCATGCTAACGACATGCTAGTCACTTGATAGTCATGCTAGCAAAATGCTAGTCACTTGTTAGTCATACTAGTAACATGCTAGTCACTTGTTAGTCATGCTAGCAACATGCTAGTCACTTGCTAATCATGCTAGCAACATGCTAGTAACTTCCTAATCATGCTAGTCACTTGTTAATCATGCTAGCAACATGCTAGTTAATTGCTAATAATGCCAGCAACATGCTAATCATGCTGGAAACACGCTAACAACATGCTAGTAACTTGCTAATCATGCTAGCGACATGCTAGTTTACTATTTCTTATCTATCTATTTTTCTGATAGATTGAAGTAGTTTTAAAGTTTTGAAGGCAATACAAATTAGTTAAAACTGAAAACCCTCAAACTTTAAGCTTTAAAAACTATGTCAAACTTTCTGGCTAGGCTTTTTCAAGCCAACTTAGTTTGTCTACAAACTTTACTATCTAGTTATCACTGATACAAATTTTTCGAATATACAGAAACCATTTTTAATAATTGTTTAATTTTTGACCCAATAATAGCTACATCTTTTGACTACAACAACACATGCATTGTGAATATTACTACAATTATTGTTATTTATGACATTACATTTATGTGAAATTACTTTGTGCTATAAATTATTGCAAATATACAGTATTTTAGCTTTGTTTTGAGCGACTTATTTAAACAACACATTAAATAAGTTCCTTTTCCTGTGAATACTGTTCTGGCCTACTAAATTATGTAATTTCTCTGTAGACTCTAGATTAATTTAATTTAACTTAAATGAAATGAAATTACCGATTACGATAATTAAATTATTGGTCTATCTCCAAGCACAAACAATAAATAAATAAATAAATAAAAACCTTGAGATTTTATTTGTTTGTTTTTTTACACTGGTTCTTTCTTTCAGGCCTACTTTTATCCAAACAATATATTAAATAAGTTACTTTACTTGTGAATACTGTTTTAGCCCACTAAATTATGTAATTTTTCTGGCTTCAATATTAAAGAACCGATTATTGTGTTAAAAAAAAGTGTAAATATCAGTCAAAAATTTTAGACAAACCAATTATCGGTCTATATCTAGATGCCAAAAAAAAAAACTGAAATTACCTGAAATTTTCTTTCCTTCCAATCATTCTTACAAAACAAGGCAGAATATATGGTTCTGCTTAAAGACTTCTGGTTTACTTGCCTCAATTACTCTATGCTGATAAGATTCAATCCCTAAAACGCCAGATGACACGGTTTAATCTAGTAGCCTCATAAGTGTTACCTAAAGCAGCTTGTTACTTTGTAAACACTTATACCGGCAAGATAAAAAACAAAATAAAGTGGCCATTTCTTCAAAAGGCTTACCCTTTCACCAGCTCTACAGCGATGAAATCACTTCCATCCCCGCTGTTGAAGAGGATGAATCCATCTGGAGAGGTTGTCTTGAACTGGAAGAAAAGGTGCATGGATGTGTAAGCCTGCAAGGTCGCTAGACTCAGGTAACTGCTCTTTGACTTGAACGTCACGGGGTCTGCGATGATGGAGCGCATGCCAAAGCGAGCGTTGAGCTCGCAGTAGTCGATATCACCGTTCTTGCACAGGTCGATGTAGAGCATGCCATTGAACTTGAGGCTTTGCAGGTGACCGATGAAACTGGAGGGGATCATGGAGACGAAATGGCGCTCGGTCATCACGCCCGTCTCGATGTTGTGAAATTCTAACCGGGTGTGATCGCCCACCATCTGACCTACAAACCACAGCAGGTTGGAAAGGAAAACAAGAAAAAAGATGCTGCTATACTACACCCTCAAACAATATTACACTGCTGTACAGGCATAGAAATGCTACCATACACCAAAACCCTGAGTCAGACTCTCCAACTACTGGGTACACAGAGCGAGTTCTACATAATGTCAGCGTAGCAATAAACATGCTGTGTTATTGCTGTAAAACACTAAAGTAGTGTTGGAATGAGAACAACTGACGAAACATTGTAAATGATGTTTCCCACAATTTATCAAAACCACACAATCTGTATCTAAAAAATAACTAGAACTAGTAACTCTGAAAACATTCACATACTTATTTCTGCAGTTTCCTGCAGCTCAAATAAAATAACGCATGAAGAATTGTGTTGTCTTTCAGGGTAGTACCTTCTGCTACGTCATCGTCAACCGTTAGCTTGTAGCTTTTGCCCCTCCGGATCACGCGCACAGTATGCCATTCATTATCATTGAGTTTTTGTCCAGCATACAGTGTCTCTGGTCCTTTGCCTGAGGACGACGGTCATGAAACGTTAATGCCAACCTGAATTGTCTCTGACCAAACCTTTGCTTTCAATAAGAAAAAGTGTAAACTTTTTTGTTGCTTTAAATTTGATGCTAACTATGTGGCAAATCAGGTTAAATTGACTTTTTTTCCAGTTGAGATGATTAACACAATAGAGAAAGCAGAGGTTTGGTGCAGATGTTTTTGAATATTACATAAAAACATAAGCTTTAACAAAAAAACTAAAATTGTTAGCCAATTTTGTTTCCTCTGTTTTTTTTTTTTCACAAGAATCACTTCAAAACATAATCCTTAAATTATAAAATGGCTTTTACTCATAAAAGGTCTTGATACACCACTCAAGGACAAAGTTCTTTGTTATCCTAGTTGTGAATATGTAACTATAAGCAACACTGGCTCAACCAATAGCATGAGTTTGGGACAGGGCTAGAGTATATGCTTGTCCAAACCACTGGCAGAAAGGAGTGTAATATGGGAAACTTGTTTGAAAAGTCAATCTTTTTGCAATTTCGTTTGGTAACACGAGTGATACAGAAATCAAATGCTTCACCTTTAAAGTCAGAATCGGAGTTCGGAATCAGATTCTATATGATGCAGTACATTTGAGGAGTTAAGTAGTCACAGAGGAGAGCAGTGAGGTGTTTTGGATTCAGCTCAGAGCGTGCTATGAAATCCCTCAAAATCTCTTGGCTCTTGGGAAATTGTGTTATGTACCTACCAGCATGCAGTTATCGGTAGTTCTTGAGAAAGAATATTATCTCCCACCCTCTTCAGCACTGACATGAATGTGTTTTGACCGACATGAAGCTCACAATCTGCCATCACTGACATTGTTCAGACAGTTTATCATTAGATCATTCCTACACCGATGCAAAAACAATACCTAGTGCACTGTAACCTACTGAATAATTGCAACTTAGATTTGATTCTGAAAGGGTATAACATTGTCCTTTTCAGAATTTCAAAACATAATAACTAAGCAGAACAACTATTAAAGGCCATACAGGCAATTATCGTATTTTGAAAGCATAAAAATCTCGTCTCAGCTTACCAGGGTTACACTAATGCACAAATCCACCAGTATCAACCACTTTCTGCACAGATTCCACTGCTGTATAAAGGTAATAATCTTAGAGCTTTTAAAAATGCAGGTCTCGTAACAGGAGCTTAAGAACTAATAGCTCTGATAAGCACATCATTATAATTAGTAGCATTATATTAATCTGAGTGATGGAAAGTGTGAACTGGTGCAGGTAAAGGGATGAGACTAATCTAGCATGATGTGAGTGTTTGCTACTTGATCAGAATGACTGATGGAGGCATAGTTGTGGGTTACTGGTTTACTTGGTACATTTCCAGCAGGGCCAGGCTCTCTAGTACATCACCAACACTCATCATTTGGCACAAAAGCTTTTTATCTAAAGTAACTTACAGTCATTGTAAGAATAGCCACATGGAATCCAGCCTGCAACCTTTCTAATATCAGACCACTGTAAGGACAGTATTTAAACAGTCACATTATAAACAACATACGAAACCACTCTAACACCGTGTCCTAACTACACACGACGCGACAAGATTCCAGCGACAAGCAATTTGGGTGTCAACACTAGACACGACACGACAGAATCAATCAAATATCACAGCCAATCAGAAGCGTGTGTGGGTGGGCTCTCTCTGGAAGCGCTCTGCACTCACAACGAAATGGATAAGCTTATAATCTAATTCATAAATATTAAACCTTTTTAACATTATTAAATGTACATACTTTGACCGATTCATCATGAGTTCACAGTTTTAACGTACATCTTTGCTTTTATTTTCAAGATCTGAAGTAAACTATCTGTTGTTGCTTTAAGTATGGCTATAAATGCCATGCAATATGACATTCAAACTCACATTAGATACGTTTAACTTTGAATAAAGCACATAATCAGTACCTGAGATTATCACTGTCATATAGTTTGTATGTTGCTGTTTCAGACGTGGCGTCGCAGAAATAGAAACCATTTCTAAAATAGAAATTTCGCGTGTCGCCATCGCGGCTAGTTGGGACAAAATTTCGATTATCGTGTTGCGGCGTCGCATTGCGTGTAGTTAGGACACGTGACACACAACTATTGCATGCAGATATCAAGATCCATATGGCGTGCAAGCCATTTATAGAGTCATTATTCACACATAAATAGCCAAAATAAGACAACTACAATTAGACATTCTTACCTTTCAAAGTGGGGAAAATCAGTTAGTTCATAGTGGTTTTATTTGTTTTATATCATTGTCATTGAGAGAATTCAAGACCTATTTTTGAGTAAAAGCAGTGTTTTTGCCAAAACTGTACAAATGTTTTCTTTACTAACAGTATAATAGTACAAAAAAGTTAAGTAACTAAATGGCATAGTATTGAACAAAGTCATTTCTGTATTTCTTAGAAGGAAAATTCCAAGAACTTCAGGTAACAACTGAACTGAATGTGCGTCTTTAGCATAATCTTTGTTTTAAGAATTTTGTATTACGCCATACATTAATGAGCTTAAAATTAATTGCAGTAGTTTGACTTAAAATACAACCAACCCAGCAAACATACAAAGCAACAAACAGAAACATGACAAAACCATATTGCATCATATCATAAGAATATGCTGAAATTAGATGCCATTATAAAAATGTAACATTAGTGATTTTATGTTCTCTGTATGCAAATGTATTACAATTTATGTGTAGGAAAAAAGTTGATATGTGGTGACTTTAAACGCTGTATAAACTGTAGTTACTGCAACATGAACATATGGCAAACCTGTCTCAATCCTATTGTCTAAATACAATAATTTAACATAACATGTATTTCTGCATGCACAATAATATTTCATATTAATGCATGCACTACTTTAAACTTAAATACTGCATTCCTTACTAAAGGCAGTAAAAACAAAGTAGTTTAAAAGATACCATACAAATTAAGACCTTTCTATAAAAGATGCTGATAGGGTAGGAAATAGATTGACATGACCGCTAAATTACAGGCCATCGAAAAACAAGCCATGATTATTAAGTCACCACCAGTTATAATTGTGGTAATCGTGACTGCAGAGATGCATCAGATCTTTTCACTAGATGCAAACTGTCCTTGACTAAATGGAGGAAAAGGCACAAGACTTAAGACATTCTTTTCAACAAGAGAATCATTAGGAGCAAAATGAAACTTGAGTGTTAACTTACTGGAGTTACAGTTTATCCTGATACAGTCTAGATGGGGGAAAATAAGTGACAGATGAAATTGCATCCTTCAAGGTTACAGCTGCAGACATCCAAAAACAATAATTCCACCCTTCCGGGGACGTCCACATGCAAAGAGGCGGCCATTTTTTTTATTATTATTAATGAAAGCATTATAATTTAATGAAAAGTCACTGGATTAACTGCAACTGTCAAAGAATTAGATATAATGTCTATGAATAAAATAGTTTTTATGATTATTTTGCTGCTAAAAACAAATAATTGCCTAGTAAGCAGTTTATTTTATAAAATTATAAAATGGCCACTTGGAGCTCACCAACCACAAAGACTATTCAACCCAGAGCGTTATTTTATTTTATTAAAATTATGCTTTTAATTCTCAGACCTATCTGAGGTCCTGCCCCATAGAAATCACACCAGCTCATTAGCTAAATATGCTTTAATAGCTTAAATACATTTAGCAAGAAGTTGGTGTTAGGGCATTTTTCTTGAATACTGATCTGGAATATAATGATTTCAATCTCGCCTTCTCATTTTGATGGCATCATGCTCTGGGTTGGGCTCTGTGTGGCTGGATTTACCATGTGTCGTCAACCGCAACAGAAAAGTGGGAGCAAACAGCCTCGATCCAATAAGCACCAGCACCATGCAGTGGCCTCTGTTCCTCCAGCTAGATCTTCCTGAGATCTGACCACTCAAATGAGCCCTTAATATACTACAATCTCTAACATATTAATAATTGTTTGTAAACGTATAGTTGTAGAGGTCTGCGTTGTCCTAAAAGTAAAATAACATTGTATTTTACAAACTAGGGCAGTCCGGAGCGTACGTCTAATGATATACATATGTATTCAGTTGTGTTTTATGGCTGACAGTCTGTCAAATCATTCCAGATGATTTCTCTGTGTATGCAGTCATAAGACATTCTTGTCTCTTTCAGTATGTTTACAGTGTGTGGGCTATGTTTGTCTCTACTATGGTTGAGCTGTCACAGACGATCAGTCCTACTGTCAAACCTCAGGCTGTTTCCTGCAGTGAGGTGTGAGTTGTGTCACTTCCTTTAATGATGACACTGTGACTTAAATGACCAGTTAGGGTCTCTCATCTCTCGTGTAAAGGTAATGGTGTCGGATTGAGGATTGAGAGGTGCTACCAGCTGCAGGTGAAGCTGAGAGCTCTGTTCTCGGGCTGTTTGCCGACCGGGCCGCAGGCTAAGGGCCTTTGAAGGGGTGAATACCATCTTTTGACAAAGCATGGAGAATGTGTGACAGAGAACTGGACGGGGGGGAGAGGTGACGGTGGTTAAAAGGAAGTGATGTAACAGAAAGGAAATACCAACAAAGCACAAATGTGGTACGAATGGAACCATCTGAGACAGAACATGAGGTTTGTCAGAGAAGAGTTACTGAAGACATTGTCAAGTAGAAAAGATGACAGGAATTAGTGTTAAGTTGACAATCAGAAAGTCACAACACTTGGATTGTAATCATAAAATGGAATTACCATCATTTCAAAAGTCGACATTAAATAAAAAATGCTATGCTATTATGCAGTGCTGTGACTGTCTCAAAGGAGTTTTTGTCTCGACTATGACAATGATCATGGTTAATATATTTAAAAAAATGCACCAAACATTGTGTCCGTTAGGCCTGGGCAGTATGTGTGACAGAAATTTAGAAATTTTGCAATAACTTTATACCGCAATAGACACATCCGCTATGAAATAAGTGGGTAATTTACAGTTGAGACAAATGGAGAAATTTGTAGTAATTTGTAGTAGCATGTCCCAAAAGATGCAAAATATAAAATTGTATAGATTCATTGTTTATGCCTAAATCAATAAAGAATTCAAATGATGTGCAATTATAATGTGAGCTTATTTAAAGGGGTCATATGACGATGCTAAAAATAACATTATTTGGTGTATTTGGTGTAATGCAATGTGTTTACGCGGTTTAAGATTCAATAAACACATTATTTTCCATATAGAGTACATTATTGTTGCTCCTCTCTGCCCCGCCTTTCTGAAATGCGTTGATGTTTACAAAGCTCATCGATCTGAAAAGCGCGGTGTGCTCTGATTGGCCAGCTATCCAGTGCGTTGTGATTGGCCTAATACCTCAAGCATGTGACAGAAATGTCAAATCCCTTACCATATTTGGAAACGCACAGCGTCTCCACGACATGGCGGCGGCAACAGTACTACAGCGAGAATAAAAGTTACGTCTTCTTTCTTTGCGTATACATTTGGGCAGTGTTATGCAAATCTTCCAACACAGTCACGTAAATTTGTGGGGGCATGTTTGAGGCATTTTAGGAAGGAGTGGTTGAGTCTTAACTTTTAGAAAGAATATCTCTTTGGGTTTGAGACTTTAATCTTTGCGACTTTACGGATCTTATCTATGCACAAACAGTTTCTAACACTCCAAAGAGAAAGGAAAATATGAAATTGTGTCATATGACCCCTTTAATCAGAATTTATAGTTGAAAGTATGTGTTATATATATTATAATTGCATTAGATTTCATTACAGTATTTCATGTTTTTACCTGAATGATATGTGACCATGGACCACAAAACCAGTCATAAGGGTCAATTTTTCGAAATTGAGATTTATACATCATCTCAAAGCTGAATAAATAAGCTTTCCATTGATGTATGGTTTTGTTAGGATCAGCGACTTAAGACTGGTTTTGTGGTCCAGGGTCACATATTATGCAGCTAATGCTCTTCATACTCCTTCGGTTGTTATAAACAAATGTATCTTTTGATTTGCATCAATGAAGTTCAGAATAAAAGTATAAAGTACTATTTTTGAACTTTCCATATATATAACTATATTGTGATATATAATATTATATTACTTGTACAGTGATATAATATCATACCACCCATCCCTAACATCAATTAGTAGCCAAAATTTGAATTTACCGTCAATTACTTTATTAAGAAAACAATTCAAACTGAACTCAATCAAATGTCTGGTGAACCATGCAAATAAAGAAAAACGATAAAACAACATCTTAATATATCTTATTAATAAATGTAATGATGATGGATGCAGGGGAGTGTGGGGCTGGAATGATGGACAGATAGGAAGAGAGAGAAATTTTTTTTTTTAATCCTGAGGTTTTATACAATACCTAAGTTGACCGTGAGTTTGACGCGACTGCCGTCCAGCTCTAGCCGAAGAGTATCGGCGGAGTCGCGTGAGGTGGTGGCCATGAGCAGGCCGTACGCCCGCTGAGACATGAAGCGAAGGGACACGTCCTCCGCTTCAGTGTGCATCACGGTAGGCATCACCACTTTCATGTACATGCTCCCGTCATAGCTCAAGATGGACGCCTCTGTGGACAAAAGAACACAAGATTTAGACAAGTTATAACTAAAAAAAACTTTGCCATGTCAAATGTCAAATTGTATCCCTAAAAAATCCTAAAACATTACAACACAACATAAACCAACAGTCTGCACGTTCAAGACCATGGCCTGCAAAAATTTTAATCATCTTCTTGAGGAAATGCATGACTAAAACAATGCACAATGAGTTAACACAATCTGCACAAGCCTCCCACAAGTTTCTATTAACTGGCTCAACAGGTAAATGAACAGAGCTCTCCTGCCATGGGAAATGTTGAAGACATCTGCACTTTTCAGCAAGCTGTCTCACAGATGGCCAGTCAGGCACACTGCTAGGACGGGACTGATGGATGTGGCGATGCCCTTTCTCCCCAGCCTCACCCCCTGACTGACATTCAACGTCATTCAAAGAAAGACATAAATCACATCTAGGGTTTTTATAGACGAAATGAATGAGGCCACATAAAATCTCACTTCAAGCTAAACATTTTAGAAAAAATTCTGCAGCACAAGATATTTATCTTTTGTTACAATAGTCAATGAAGGTCAAAATAAGTTTGCTTCAGACAGATAATATAATACTACCATTTAGATATTTTTTCTTAATAGAAATTCATGCTTTTATTCAGCAAGGGCGCATTAAACTGTTAAGAAGTGACAGTAAAGACTTTTCATAATGTTACAAAACACTTCTCTTTCCAATAAAAGCTGTTCAATCTCAACTCAAAGAATCCTGAAAAAAAAATTGTATCATGTTTCAACAGAATATTAAGCAGCACAACCATTATCAACATTGATAATACTAAGATACGTTTCTTGATCACCAAATCAACATCATAGAAGGATCATGTGACACTGAAAACTGGAGTAATGATGCTGACAATTTAGCTTTGTCATCACAGGTATAAATTACATATTTAAAATATATGCAAAAATAAAACAGTTATTTAAAATTGTATAATACTAATATTTTACAATATTATTTTTTTTATTGTATTTTTGATAAAAATAAATGCATCCTTGAGTATAAAAGACTTTTTAAATAAGGTTGTGTGATATAAATCAGACATGACCGATTGTATAATACTAATATTACTATAATACTAATAATATAATACTAATTGTATAATACTAATATTTCACAATATTAGTTTTTATTGAATTTTTGATAAAAATACATGCATCCTTGTTGAGTATAAGACTTCTTTCAAAAAAACAGTATTTGTACAAATATAACAATAAAAATAAAATTAACTTGCAGACATTCATATTCAGACAAGATTAGATTTCTCAGAAAAGGGTCTGAAATGAAAACTGGGCAATCTGATGTAATAATGAGAAACTTTCTCAAAATAATGACTTATTTTCTCAAAATATTGAGAAACTTTCGAAATAATGAGAAACTTTCTCGAAATAATGACTTCTTTTCTCATAATGAGAAACTTTCTCGAAATAGTGAGAAACTTTCTCGAAATAATGAGAAAATTTCTCGAAATAATGACTTCTTTTCTCATAATAATGAGAAACTTTCTCGAAATAATGGCTTATTTTCTCATAATAATGAGAAACTTTCTCGAAATAATGACTTCTTTTCTCATAATAATGGGAAACTTTCTCGAAATAATGGCTTATTTTCTTGAAATAATGACAAACTTTCTCGAAATAATGGCTTATTTTCTCGAAATGAGAAACTTTCTCGAAATAATTGTTTTCTCATAATAATGAGAAACTTTCTCGAAATAATGAGAAACTTTCTCGAAATATTGAAACTTTCCCGAAATAATGACTTATTTTCTCATAATAATGAGAAACTTTCTCGAAATAATAAGAAACTTTCTCGAAATAATGACTTCCTTTCTCATAATAATGAGAAACGTTCTCGAAATAATTGTTTTCTCATAATAATGAGAAACTTTCTCGAAATAATTACTTGTTTTCTCATAATAATTTTCTCGAAATAATGAGAAACTTTCTCGAAATAATGACTTATTTTCTTGAAATAATGAGAAACTTTCTCGAAATAATTACTTATTTTCTTGAACTGTCAATTTTCTTAAAAAAGGTTGTGTGACAAAACACAAACACTCTTAAAGAGGGGCACAAAAGCATCTGTTTTATAGAATTACCCATCAAACTCTAGAGTATTGTTTGGAATGTTTTTTTAAGTGTACAAAAGTTTTATTGAACAAATATATACTTATAACTACTCTAAACAACAGATAATCTGTCATTTCACTTTGCAGCCAAAATCATGGTGCATCTTAGGTATTGTTTGATTGATTGAATTGTATTGATTGAATTTGAAATGTTCCTCACAATGTTAAAACCAAACCTATGACCTTCATCTAATAATGGATCAATTTTGAGTGGCTCGATTACAGTATCTGGTCACAATAATTCTGTCTCAGATAACTTTATTAAAAATACATATGGCAGACTTTAATCAATTATAAAATGCAAATACAATGATCACACATTTCAAGAGAATATCAACAACAGATGCTCATTTAATCCTGAGCTGTGAAAACTCCATCCTGAACACATGCATCCTAAATATCGATGCATAGAAACCGCTGACAAACTCTACAATTACACAGTGATCAATATGTTATTATGTGTGATTAGTTGCTTTTCAATCCTCCCTGGGGCCCCCGCCAATTTTAATTTTACACCCGGCAAACTAGAGAGTGGGAGAGAGAAATCGAGGTCGTGCTGCCATCAGTGAAGACAGCGAGAAGAGAAACAGATAAGTGGGACTAACCTCTAGACAGTATCTGACGATTAACTCTGAGTGAAAGCAAATCAAAATGATTTTGTATCAATGTTATTGAGCAGCGGGCTGATGCGAGTGGACAGAAATATGCCGTGGAGGATGTGACGGGAATAAGGCACCAGAGATCTTCACAGGGTGGCAGTGTTTCTCAATAAGGGGCCGATGTTACACAACAGCATCCGGCAGCCATCTTGAGAGACTCGCTTATGAAATTTGATACACTGCTGTTTCCTCTCAAAGCATCTCATAAATCCATCTCAGGACACGTGAGGGCACTCATTCACTGTATTTACCTGTAAAACGTGGCCGTCTTTCTCTCTTTTAGATTTGTAGGCTAGGATAATTAATGCAGATCATGTGGCTGTATAAAAATGCGGTGCACATCTGACATTTCGGTATATTAATTAAGCCCTGCTTTTGTTTTCCTGTGTAAATAATGAACACAGAACTTATTCAATCACATGCCCGAATGAAACACGGTTCATGAAAGTCAAATGAGCTGCAAAAAGCATTACTCATGGAAGAGGCTAATTCAATAAATAAAGGGCTTTAACTGACATTCCATCTGACTAATTGATGAGTGAATAGATGGAATGTTTAATCAGAATTGTTTTTTTTTGTTTGTTTTTTTTGTCTCTGTGCTGCATCTGAAGGGGGTATGCAAGTCAGATTTCAAGCAGTGTCCTGCAGTATGACATGCTATACTCCAGCCGAAAACATTTTTGTAATTATTTTATGATTATTATAGATGCTGTTTTTACTTCATATTTTTTTGAGAGCCAAAAACAAATCACTTGTTACACTGCAGGACTATTTACTATGGAAGCCCGTTTCCGCGGTTGAGAAAATAAAAAGTGATTTCTTTAAGTCATAATAATGAGAAAGTTTCTCATAATTATGCCTTAGTTTCTCAATATAATAAGATACATTATTCGCGAAATAATGACTTATTTTCTTGAAATAATGGGAAACATTCTCGAAATATTGAGAAACTTTCTCTAAATAATGACTTATTTTCTCGAAATATTTAGAAACTTTCTCGAAATAATGACTTATTTTCTCGAAAACAATGACTTATTTTCTCGAAAACAATGAGAAACTTTCTCGAAATAATTACTTATTTTCTCAAAATAATGAGAAACTTGCTCGAAATAATGACAATCCACGCATGCGCAACGCAAAGCAGGAACCATGCAGGAACACCGCCAACATTGCTTTGTTCTGTAATCTAAAGTGTATAATCTGTCATTAAATAATAATTTCAGATAAATTATCTGCATGTAGTCTTGTTAATTTGCAGCACTTACCAAGTTACGCTGCCAGAAAGTTCATGGTTTCAAACAGATATAGAGGAATTCCAACAAAAAAAACACACATTTTATGAAGAAATGAAAGCCATTACACATATAAACTTAATGAATAGATGTTCATTTCGATGATTTGTTCGTTTTATTAGTCACTTTCATGCATCACATGCAAAGGCCCACAATGTTTATACAGTAGCCAAAATCTCATCCCGCTTGCACAAAGCGTAGTTGTTCAGTACCACGGCAACCGCTTGGTCTTTGATCAGCATCCCGCTTCTTGCACGACAAACGCTTAACGTGAAAAATGCTTAACGTGGCTTGAAGTACAAAGACAAGATTGAACCAAATTCAGTACACAACTTAATGATCATGCATACTGTATACAGGAATTCAGGTGGACCCAAAATATGAATGCAACACAAAACAGCAACGCTTATGCAACCGCTTAACGTGCAACTTTGGGTGTTGCGTTCAAATTCTGGGCTCTTATGCTTGCCCGTATGCATGATCAATTATATTGTATCCTGAATTTGTCATTGAACTTTAAGCCAGATTAAGCAATGAATAGATGTTCATTTCGATGATTTGTTCGTTTTATTAGTCACTTTCATGCATCACATGCAAAGGCCCACAATGTTTATACAGTAGCCAAAATCTCATCCCGCTTGCACAAAGCGTAGTTGTTCAGTACCACGGCAACCGCTTGGTCTTTGATCAGCATCCCGCTTCTTGCACGACAAACGCTTAACGTGAAAAATGCTTAACGTGGCTTGAAGTACAAAGACAAGATTGAACCAAATTCAGTACACAACTTAATGATCATGCATACTGTATACAGGAATTCAGGTGGACCCAAAATATGAATGCAACACAAAACAGCAACGCTTATGCAACCGCTTAACGTGCA